GACGGAGGCAGAACGCCGATCCGAAAATGAGGCCCACGCTGCAGCGGGAGCACGATTCGGAACGATTCGGGAGCAGAAATGAGGCCCGCGCCTCGGCGAGAGCAGCATTTTGGGAGAAAAAAGACGCAAGCGAAAACCCGTTTCCCGGGAATCCCGTGCATTAAAAAACAATACGCGGGGGGGTCGGATATCTTCGGGACGCCATCAGGGGAAGCGGGAGAGTACTTTCATATTGTGCAATTGTGGAGGAGGGGGAGGAGGAGGGAAAAGGAGGAAGAGGAGGGGGATGGGGGGCGAGCGACGGGGATCGCTGGGGCGGATCGGCGGCGACCGCTTAAGGGGGGGAGGAATGAGAGGATATGCGCGATATGGAGCGGAGCGATGGTGATCGCTTGAACGATGGCGGGGGCGATGGTGATCGCCTGGGCGGAGCGGCGGCGACCGCTTTAGATGGAGGCGTAGGGGGGGGGCGGCGACGAGGGAAGGATGAGGAGAGAGGGGGGAATTACGATAGCGATGGCGATCGTTGCAGAAGGCGAGGGGGGGCGGGCAGGACAGGGCGCTCCGCGGGCCGCTGCGATGGAGGGCCAGCTGGTCGCGCTTGTCGCGCGGTGCCGCGAACAGCAGGCCGAGCTGTCGCAGCGGCGCTCTGTGCGGGGGGCTCCGCGCCCCCCTCCAATCCAGCGGTGGCGATCGCTCTCTTCTTATTATTATTCATCCTCTTCCTCCTCCCCCCATCGACCTCTCCTTCTCCTTTCCCCCCCTCCTCCTCCTCCTCCTTCTCCTCCTCCCCCCCCCTTCCCCTCCTCCTCCTCCTCCTCATCCTCGTCCCCCCCCTCCTCCTCCTCCTCCTTCTCCTCCTCCTCCTCATCCCCCCCCTCTTCCCCCTCCTCCTTCTCCTCCTCCTCATCCTCGCCCCCCTCCTCGTCATCCTCCTTTCCCTCGTCGTCCCCCCCCCATCTCCTTCTCCTCCTCGCCTCCTCCTCGCCTCATGCGATCGACCGCGGCTTGCTGCAGCAGGTCCGCGACCTGGACCAGTGGCTCACCGAGGTGGGGGCGACGATGACGACGCGACGACGACGCGGAAGACGACGGTGGCGCGCGCGCGACGATGACGACGAACGAGGCCGAGCGCGAGCTGGAGATCGCGCCCCAGGAGCGCGACGCGGCGCTGGCGGCGCTGGGGGCGGCGACGCGGCGCGAGGAGGAGAGGCAACAGAAGAAAAAGAATGATAATAATAAGAAGAAGGAGAAGAAGAAGCATGATAAAAACGCGGCGCGCTTGCGCTGAAGAAGCCCGCGAACAACGGCTGAGTTGGCCGCGCGCCCTCGCCCCCCCCCCCCCTCCTCGTCGCCCTCCTCCTTTAAAAAAGTTCGTGGTACTTATAAGAAGCACATAAGTAACTTAGATATGAAACCCTAATTAACTTAGTGAGTAACTTAGTAAGTAGCACTAACTTGCAACGGTAAGTAGCCCAAGTTACTTGAGGCACTCAGCGCTAAGCTTAAGTAGCATAAGAAGCTCCAGCCTTTAAGTGCGGATGGGGGGGCGCCGCCGCCACGAGCGCGGCCCTCGCCGAGACGCCCAGGGAGGCCGCGGCCCCCCTTGGGGGCGGCCGGCCACTGGCATGGCTGCGCCCTTCGGGGCCCGGAAAGCCCGGGACGCTCCGCTCCTCTTGGGCTTCGCGCCACGGCACCTCTTCATGGCTGGCGGGCGCCCTGGACCTCCGCCTGCTGCCTCGGTGGCGGGGCGCGGCTGGTCGCGACGGCCCCGCTGCGCTCGGCGGGGCCTGTGCTGGAACGCCCGCGTCGACAGGGGTCCCGCCACCGGGCGCCAGCGGCGGCGGACTGCGCCTGGCCCCTGCTCCACTCCACGGAGAAGGACGGCCCCCCTGCCTTGTGCGATCCCACCTTCGGCGCCATCAGCGCCTTCTTCCTCTTATTCGGCGCAGTCGGCGGCGCCGTCTTCGGCGCCCCCTCCGGCGCCTTCTTCATGGGCGCCTTCTTCATGGGCTTCTTCTTGGCTTTCTGAGAAGGTTGGTTCTATCTACGCCACTGCCCCCCCCCCCCCCCCCCCCCCCCCTTCGTCACCCACCCCTGTGGTATGAGATGGATATGTCATCACCCGTTGGGGGTGTCACTCTATCTGCCGCGCACAATGGCCCCCCCCCCCAGTGGCCCTGTGGCGTGGTGGGTGATCCCGCGCCCCTCACCTTCGCGTCACCGACAGCCGCGTCGCCCGTCGCCTCGGCATCTGTCTCCTCGCTGCCGCTGCCGCCGTCGCCCCCGTCCTCGCTCTCCTGGGGCATCTTCGGCTTGCGGCCTTTGAGCTCCTCGGGGGTCTTGTCCCTGGCCTCCTGCGCTGACAGGCCTGATGCCCGACGCGCTGGCGTGGCAGTGATCGAAGCGGCGCCGTCGCCCTCGAGCGGCAACGGCGACGACGGTTGGCACTGCCTGCACGGCACTGCCCTGGCGTCGCATTGCCCTGGCGTCGCCAGCGCCAGCGCGATGCCCTGCGCCAGGCCCGACGCAGTCAGCGCCTTAATCCGCGCCTTGCTCTCGCGCATGGGGGCGCCGTCCGTCGGCGCCATGAACTGCGCGGAATCCAACGGAAAAAGCAGTTGGGCCCTTCTTGGGAAACGCGCGCGCGCACATCTCGGCACGCAGCCTGGCGTTGTCCACAGGGGAAACGGGCAGCGCCGAAACGAAGGCGCCCTCGGACTCCGCCATCTGCTTGCACAGCTTCCAAGGGAGCAGCTTATTTGCGTATTTTTTCGCGCGCTTGTGGTAGCCCCAAAGGGTCACGGGACATTGTCGAAGCGCCTTGTCGGCGCCATCTACCTGCATCGCGACGCAGCAGGCAACCTGGACTGCAGGTTCGTGGATGGTCCCCCACCCGAGCGTCTTGCACGCCTGGAGCACGACCCCCGCGCGGCCCAGAACGTCGCTGCCCTCGCCCAGAATTGCCCCCCACTGCCCCGCCGTGAGGTAGGCCGTGAAGTCCTGTTTGGGGGCGCGAGAGTTGCTCAGCAGTTTCTGGGGCGCAGCTGCGTTGGCAAGCAGCGCGCGCGCCGAGGCAGTGGCGAGCGTTGTGACAGCCCGCAGGAGATCACCACGCTGCTTCGTGCCGAATGGCAGCTCCGAAATGGCTTGCGCCAGCTCGGCCGAGTCCTCGGGCGAAATGGAAGACCATGACTGCAGCATGGTCGTCGCCAGCGTCGCCTGGGCGTTGAGCAGCTCTTTCCATGGCTCGCTCCGAGGCTGCAGCTTGGACAAGAAGGTGGTGGCGCACCCCAGCTGTTCCAGCAACTCCTGAGCGTCCGTCATCGCGCGGCGCGCCGCTCCCACGGCGCCAGGTGGCGCCCCGCACGCGGCGCGAAGCGCGCGTCGCGTCGCGCGCGAAGCCACAGCGGCTGCCGCCCTGATTATGTGCAGAAGGCGGTAGCCGCATAGCGATCGAGATCGCTCGGCAAACACGTCGAGCCCTTCCACAGTTGGCCCCTCCGACCACCCGAGCGATCACAATCGATGCCAGTTCCCTCCCTCTCTTGCGACTCCCCCTCATTCCCCATCCTAGATATCACAGTGTCATCCTTATCTTCTCTTTGCGCCCTCATCGCCCCGAACAATATCGCGACCTGCCCAAGCGATCGCCATCGCTACATGCGCCGTCAAGCGGTCGCCACCGCCATCCCTCCATCAACCCACAAGCTTCCCAAATCGATCGCCATCGCTGGTTGCCTCCTAAACTATCCTCTCAGATTCTCCTTGCAAGCGATCGCAATCGCTACCCTTCATCGCCCCGCCAACGCTTCCCAGCGATCGGTATCGCTGTCTCCCTCATCACCGTTCGTCTCCTCCTCCCTCCCGCGATCGCAATCGCTGCATCACCCCACTACCTTCCTGGAACGATAGCCATCGCTATTCCCCTCATGAGCACCCTCCTCCTTTCCTCCTCTTCCTCCCTCAAGCGATCCCAATCGCCATCGCCCTCGTTGGACTCTCACCCCTTCCCCCCCCCCCGAAGCGCGGTCGCAATCGCAACCCTCCGCTATCCCCACTTCACCCTCCAAGCGATCGCCATCGCTAATCCCATCCTCAACGCATCTCCCCTTGAAGCACACAAGCGATCACAGTCGCTTCCAAACCGTTCTCCCAGTACCTCGCTCAAGCGGTCGACACCGATATCTCCCCCCTCGGCGTTTCTTCCCTCGTCCTCTCTCAAGCGATCGCAATCGCTACCCTCCATTGTTCCACTGGAGCGATCGTCATCGCTCGATCAAGCGATCTCCATCGCTATCGGTCTTGTCACTTTCCAGCGATCGCAATCGCTACCCTCCATCATCCCACTACCTCCCTCAAGCGATCGCCATCGCTATCTCCTTTCCTTCTCCCCCCCCCCCCCCCCCTTGGCACGCCGCTGCGGGGGGGGGCGGGGGGGATGGGGGGGGGGAGATGTCGGAAAGTTGTAAGTTCCGCATAAGTGTCACTAAGTTATCCTAAGCTACTTAATGCTAAGTACACCTAAGTTACTTAGCTGCACTTACTAAGTAATTTAACTCGGCGCTCAAATGCTGACACATACTGATAAGTTCACCGAGTATAGTTACAACGCACAGCAAATACTTACAACACTTGCAAAATTCTTAAGTCACTTGCGCAACATATGCCCGAACACAAGTAGCTTCAGCCCAGCCACAAACACCTCCCAACTAGGCTAAGAAGCTCCAGCCTTTAAGCAGCCAGAAAACCGGCCCCGGTTTCTCACTCCGGGGGGGGGGGGGGGGGGTCCAGGGGCCAAAACCGGCCCCGGTTTTTCGCCGCTGCAGTGCCTCTGCGGGGTGCTCGGCCTCGGGAGCGTGCCTGGCGGCGGTTGCAGCAGCAGCGTGGGCAGGCCGGAACCTCCGTGACTTCGGCGTGACTCTGCAGCAGGACGCGTCGAGTGGTAGGGTTTCGTTGGGCCGACTGTCACCCGCTCCCCGGAGGAGTATGCCAGGCGCATGGGAGATCGTTCGGAAGAGTTCCAGCGACAAGTTGTTGAGGCAGGAGTGTGGTCGTGGCTTTGGCTGCTCATACTGGGGTTGAACTTGTTTTGCGGTGGCTACGACCCGCGGCTCCTGAAGAGCAGAGCGATCGAGCGACCGAGAGACACCCCATCGAAGGCGCAGTCCATGGCTCTGCACCTGCTCGCGCAGAAGGTCGACTATTTCCTGGACCTGGACGTGGTCGTACCGTGCGAGGATTGGGCCGCGAGCCTCAAGTCCGCGCGCATTACCTATGTCGGCAGCGCCGTGGAGCGGGCCCAGAGGCTCTCGCGGCCCCAGGTGCTTCCGGGGTTGCCGCGCCCCGAGCACCGCGCAAGCATGCCGGCTGAAGAGATAGCCGAGGGCGTCGTCAAGGAGTTCCTGGAGTACCCGCGCCGTTGCCTGCTGGACTTGGACGCCCTGGAGGCCCCCCCGAAGGCGGGGGCGGTCCTGATCCAGCCTGGCGAGGACCTCGTCATCGCCAAGGAGCTGATTTCGATGGGTCTTTGCGTGGCTCTTGAGGAGCACGAGCTGATCAAGATTGGTCCAGTGTCCCTCCTCAGCGGGGTACTCGGGGCCCCGAAGGGGGAGCAGCTGGGGCCCGATGCCGGCAGCCGGCGCGGCCAGGACGTGCCCCGTTTCATAGTGCACTTGACCGCCTCCAACAGCGTGCAGGCGCTCTGGGAGGGGGGCGTCAATCTCCCGCCGCATTTCGGGATGCGGAGATCCATCATGCTGGAGGGCGAGCAGGAGCTAGCCTGGAGCTGGCTGGACTTGAAGGGGCGCTTCTACTTGCTCCGTCTGCAGCGTACCTGGGCCCCCTTGTTCGCTTTCAATTGGCATTGCGAGGCGTCCGAGCTCGGGGTGCCTGGGCATGGCCGTCGTTGGCTGACCTCTGCAACCTTGCCAACGGGATGGAAGTCCGCAGTGGGATCGGCGCAGTGCTTGCATCGCGAGCTCCTCATGCGAACGGGAGCTCCATCAAGGGCCCTCCCCGTCCCGAGGGAGCTCCGGAAGGACCGCGCGGTTTCGCCTTTACTGCCAGGCGGCGGCGACATGTCAGCGCTGGATTTACGCGGGCGTCCTCGACGTGCCTGAGATTTTCTCTTCGAGGGGGGATCTGGAGGCGACCGGGGCGGGCGGGGCGGCCGCGTGCAACGACGCGGCGCGCGCCCGTTATGCCGCTCGCGAGGTGCCGACGTCCGCGGAGAAGGCGGGCGACAGACTGCAGATCGCCCAAAGGCTGGGTGCGCGGATCGATGGCGCGGCTGGCGCCGTTGGCCCGGGCGCCAGGCGGATCGGCCGCATCGTCGGCATGACGCTGCACGTCCTCACGAAGGACGCTTGGAGCGCCAAGGAGTTGCAGGTGCTGGGTGGCCATTGGACGCATCTGTTCCAGTTCCGCCGGGAGGCGTCGAGCCTTTTGGCCCACTTCTGGTCGCTGCTGACGACGGCGCTTCGGCGTCGGAAGGTCGCGGCCACGGAGCTCGCGAGGACCGAGCTGTGGCTGTGCGTTGTTCACCTGCCGCTTCTCGCTATGTCTCTCAGGTCGGCTATCGAGCCTGTCGTCGCGGCGTCCGACGCCTCCGAGCAGGGCGGGGGCGTTTGCGCATCCCGGGGCCTCACGCCCACCGGGCGCCTGAACGTCGCCCACGACCGCGCGCTCCTCGCTCGAGGCGCGACGGACGGCCTCGGCCGGGTTAGCCTCTGCGATGGGATCGGCGGCGCAAGGCAAGCCCTGCACCTGCTGGGGATCACGCCCGCCATGTATTGCAGCAGCGAGGTGGACGGCGCGGCCCTCAGGGTCATCTGGGCGCGCTGGCCCGAGGCCGTGGAGCTCGGCGGTATGGAAAGTATTGGGCAGGCCACTTTCGACCCGTTGGCCAGGAAGTTTTGCAACGTGTCGTTGGTCGCGGTCGTGCTGGGTGCCCCCAGCCATGCCCCGAGCCTGCTGTTCAGGTTCGTCGAGGTGGTGGCGGCGGTGCGGCGTGCGTTCGCATACTGCGAGGTCCTGTGGCTCGTGGAGGCAGTGCCCAACATGGGGGCGCAGTCGGAGGAGCAGTTTTCGGGTCTTCTGGGCCAGCGTTCGCTCCGCCTGTGCCCTGGGCTGGCGGGCCCAGTGAAGCGGCCGCGTTTGCATTGGGCGACTTGGTCAGTCGCTGCGCGTTGCCGCTCCGGGGCGAGCACGACCCAGAGAGGATTGGAGGCGGTCGTCAAGGCCCCCTGGTCATCATCCGCCTCCGCCCTCGAGCCTGGTGCTCGGCCTCATGAATCAACCGCCGGGTCGCGCGAAGCCTTCGCCAGGGCGGCGAGGAAGAAGCGCCTTCCGCATAGGCTGGCCGGTTGCGAGGTCTGCGACCTGGATGCGTTTGCACGGTGGCAGGCCGATGGCATGCGGCGCCCGCCCTGCCAGTACAAGCCGGCCAATTGCGCCCGGCAGCGCAGGCAGGGGGCATCAGCGGCGAGGCTGCGCCCACTGGTAGCCAACGAGAGGGAGGCCTTGATGGGCTACCCCAGGGGCTACACGAAGCGGGCCCTGGGGCGCGCGAGTCAGGGTCAGGCCGCCCAGTTAGAAGATGCCCGGTGCGCGCTGATCGGGGTCAGCTTCCACGCCCCATGCATCGCCCGGCTCATCGGCTCCGCGTTTGCAAGAGCACGGTCTGCTGGAGGCCGGGTTTGACTTCGCCCAGTGCTGGGGCACGCTCGCGGAGGAGGAGGCCGGCGAAGCATTGAGGCGCCTCCTTGACTCGGGAGGCGGCGGGCGCTCGCTGGAGGAGGAGGCCGTGGCTCTCCGCCACCGCTCGGCCATGTTTAAAGGCTCGGACGTTCGCCTGGCCGATCATGTAATCCTGAACCCAGGCATTTGGCCTGGGAGAGGTTTGGGCCCCGAGCGGTGGAATTGGAAAGTCATTATGTCCTGCCCCCTGGGGGGTGCTCATATAAACGCACTCGAATTAAAGGCAGTTTTAAGTACCATCGAGTGGAGGGCTCGGCGAAGCGCTGGGCTCGGCAGATGCGTCGCCCATGCGTTGGGTTCCCAGGTTTGCATGAGCGTTCTGGTTCAGGGGCGCTCCAGTTCGTTTCAGTTGCAAGCGCTTCCTAGACGTATCAACGCCCTTCTCCTCGCCTCGGGCTTGGTCCCTGCATTCATTTACATAGCCTCCGCTGGCAATCCAGCGGACGCACCGTCGAGATGGCCTCGGGGACGAGGGCCGCAGGTGACCGAGCACGGCGTCGGGAGTCGAGGGCGCGCTTAGGACCGCTGAGAAACAACCAACTGAAACCTGGGACCTTGAAGAGATACGGCGACAGCGTCAAACGCTTCTTTGCCTGGGTGGACCGAATGTCACATCCAGTGCCGCCTCGCACGGGCGACTTCGATGTTGTGGCGTGCGAATACTTGGAGCATTTGTGGCAGGAAGGCGATGCCTTGGCCCTGGCCGGCGACGCTCTCAGCGGGCTGACCCACGAGGTGAAAAACTTGAAAGGCAGCTTGCGCGAGAGTTGGGGGGCGCTGGTTTTGGCAGTCTCTCGAGCCTCCGAATCGCGCGCCGCAGCTCTGGGACGAGCCGGTCTCCGCCATAGCCGGTTGGGCATTGGGAGAAGGGAATGTAGGTTTCGTTTTCTTCGTGTACACTTCCTACCAGTGCATCTTGAGGACCGGCGAAGCTTTCGGCCTCAAGGTCGCCTCAGCCTTGCTGGCCCCTGGAGGGCATGAGGCATTGTTCGAGCTGGGCCTCGCGAGCGGAGGACGGCGGCGACGGGGGAAATGCGAACGCGTTCTCTCGCGAGATCCCATGCTGATAAAGTTGTTTTTGTTGGCGCGGGGGGGCAAGGCACAGGGCGGCAGACTTTGCCCCGTCACCGCCCACTGCACGAGGCGAACCTTCGCTCGAGCCTGCCGGGAGCTGGGGCTCGGTGAGGATATGCGCCCCTACAGCTTCCGTAGGGGTGGGGCCACCGCTCACTTTCAGAAATTCGGCCCTTTGTCTCTCACCACTACATGAGGCAGGTGGGCACATCAGAAGACCTGCCGCTTGTACAGAGTTGAAGCGAGAGTGGCCCTCCAGGAGATGCACGCGCGTCCGGGGGTAGGCAGACGGCCCCCCTGAGCCTGCGCTCTCTCTACACATTGCCTGGGGCAGGACGGACAAGAACTCCAGTCGGGCCGCAGTTTTGGAGTGCGGTCCCGCCCCCTAGTGGCCAGCTGGCGCGGTGAGCGCGCGTCGCCTCCCGCGCCGGCATCTCCGCCCATGCGATCCCCATGCGCCTTGCACAGCAAGATTTGCGCAAATGCCTCTTCCTTCCTGCCCGGGCTCTTCCTGCCCAGTGCCCCGTAGTCATCGATCGGCGCCCAGTCCCTCTCTCACTCCGTTTGCTTGTCGGATCCGCCATGGGGAACGTCAGGAGGCTAGGGGGGGGGAGGAGGAGGGAGAGAAGAAGGCCCCACCCCGGGCTCGCCAGGGCCTCAGAGTGAGTGCGCTGAAGCGCGTCTTGAGCCAAAACGGGTACGGACCCTCATCCGTTCCGCGGCTTGCCAGCCGAACGACCGGCAAATGCAGCTTTAGGCGGCTTTGCCTCCACTGGTCCAGAGCGTTACCCGTGAGCCGCGAGGTGAAACTTGTAGCCGCATCTCAGCAAATACAGGGTCGCTTTGGACTCAGCGGTGGCTTTGTCAGGGTGCCCGGGAACAACCTTGACTTGCCCGTGCATTTTCCGAGGAGTGATTTCCTCGTTTCACGCTCAAGGCACCTTTACCGAAGGTTGCCAACCAGCATCGAGGCGCAGTTGTCTCTTCGATGATTGGCCCAGCGACGGGGCGCTTTGAGACGGCGTATGTGTTTCCCTAATTGGGCTGCAGCCAGTGACAATCATCGGGGCCCCTCTGGGGTCATTGCGTCTCCGGCGTTCGGCACTCTCGAAGCGTTTGCGCGTGGGGGCGACGCTCTGCACAGACACCTGTTGTCGTGTTCGAATTCGCTGCTCAGCACAGGATGCGTCGATCCCACATGGCAGGAAACGCGTTTTGTCATGCTGCCGAAAACGGGGAGCAGACATGATGAAACAAACTGGCTCCCCGTAGCCATTTTACGCATCGCATATGATATATTTGCACGATTACTGTTTGCACGCTTGCAGCCTGATCTACTGAAAGAACAAACACATGACCAGGTAGGATACTGCCCAGGCCGCTCCGTGGACGACGCTTTTGTTGTTCTGGAGGATCTGTCCACGAAAGCTTGGGAGTGGCAACTCCCACTGTGGATCGCTAGCATAGACCTCACGAAAGCGTTCGACAGGCTGGAACACCACGTGCTTCTCCAGGCATTGTCGGAGCAGGGAGTTCATGTAGAATATGTGCGTCTCTTGTCAGACATCTACAGTGCCCAATGGGGCAGCGTCAATGGAAGCGAAGCGTTCGACATTACGCGCGGCGTCAAACAAGGAGACGTTTTGTCTTCATTGCTCTTTAACGCCGGCTTGGAGCACGCAGCTCGGAAGTTCAAGCTGCGCGCTCGGCAGTGCGGCTTCGACGTTGGAGGCGCCAGCTTGCTTAGCAATCTACGGTACGCCGACGACATTTTACTATATGCGCGTTCTGCAGCAGAGGTTTGTCGCATGCTGGACATCCTCGCGGAAGAATTGCCAGCGTGCGGCCTGTCATTGAATGCAGACAAAACGCAAATACTTACTAACGACGCTGCTGTTTCCAATGCCGCAGAGCCCACCATTCTGCCGCTTGCCGGTTGCCATTTGCCCGCTATGACGTCCCAGGCGTTTCACAAGTATTTACGTAAGAAATTCGAGGGCGATTTGCGCAATAGGTCAGAGTGCAATGTGAACTACCGCATGGAGTGCGCATGGGGGAAGTTCCATTCCCAGAAGGCAGTACTTTCGAACAGATCTATATATTTGCGCCTTCGTTTGAAACTTTTCGACGCGATTGTTGCGCCCACGGCTGTTCACGGTCTTTCGACAACAGCCATGACAGCGCAGCAGCGGGCGCGAGTTGCATCGACACGCTCTAAAATGCCCCGCCGGATAATTGGTCTCAGCAAGCTTTCCCACGAAAGTTGAGAGGAAGCGGGGCGACGCACCAAGCAGAAAGGGACCGTTGTTTTGCAGATTGTGATCGTTCTTTTATTATAATTTTTTTGCTTTCGGCGGAACCCCCCGCCCCCCCCCCCCCGTAGAGAAGTCATGGGCTGATTTTGGCACCTGCTTCAGTCGATCGGACGAACTACGGGGGCCGGCGCCCCCCCCCCCCGTAGAAACTCGAATCGTTGATGTGTGCAACTGTGCGAACTTTTTCCTGCTATTCTTCTGGAACCATAACGAAAGGGCTCAGGGGCGCCGGACCCGATCGCCAAAAAGCATGCCTCCGGTTGGGCCCTCCCCTGTTATGCCACCGACGGCCTTGTGGAATCATGAATATGTGATCCATAGTAATCCTGGCACAGCCCCGCACAATCACGCATAGCCTTGGCGCAGCCCCGCGCAGCCTCTGCGCGATTCCCCCATGGGGGGTCCCCCATAGGATTCCCTCATCGGCATCTCCCACAGGATTCCCCCATAGGCTTCCCCCATGGGCTTCCCCCATCGGATTCCCTCATAGGTCTCCCCCATAGGATTCCCCCATCGGATTCCCCCATTGGCCTCCCCCATCGGATTCCCCCATAGGCTTCCCCCATCGGATTCCCCCATAGGCTTCCCCCATGGGCTTCCCCCATCGGATTCCCCCATGGGATTCCCCCTTCGGATTCCCCCATTGGATTACCCCATTGGATTCCCCCACCATAGGCATCCCCCATAAGGTTCCCTCATCGGTTCCCCCCATAGGCTTCCCCCATTAGATTCCCCCATCGGATTCACCCAGACGTTTCCCCCATAGGATTCCCCCATCGGATTCCCCCATAGGCTTCCCCCATAGGATTCCCCCATACGCGTCCCCCGCAGGACTCCCCCATCGGATTCCCGCATAGGCCTCCCCCATAAGTTTCCCCCAAGGCTTCCCCCATAGGCTTCCCCCATAGGATTCCCCCATAGGCGTCCCCCGCAGGACTCCCCCATCGGATTCCCGCATAGGCCTCCCCCATAGGATTCCCCCATAGGCCTCCTCCATCGGATCCCCCGTCGGATTCCCGCGTAGGCTTCCCCATAGGACTCCTCATCGGATCACCCCATAGGATTCCCCCCATACGGTTCCCCCATAAGTTTCCCCCATCGGGTTCCCCCCATTGATTCTCCTTTCTGAAAGAGGCATGGATCCCCCCCCACACACCCCAGGGCGGGCTTGGGATATGCAATGTATTTGTATATGATACTGTTCACCCGTTCATTCCATATGTGAAACCATACCATGCCAGCCCATCCCGGCATTGCCCCCCCCTCCCCCCCTGACCCTTGTCAAATAATACAAGGCGCTCAGACAGCCAGCGTCGTTGATCGAGACATATAAGCCCAAGTCGTCCTGACCCCAGCGCTGCTGCAGGCCCCCCAGGGCTGGAGAGGATGAGGCATAGGGGAAGAGGGAGGAGGGATGGAGGGAAGGAGGAGCAGGAGGAAGAGGAGAAGGAGCAGGAGGAGCGTGCCCGAGGGCCTGCGAGTGTTTGGCGGGGTCTCCGAAGATCTCCGATGGACTCGCCTTCCTTTGGGGCTCAGATTGCCCCCCAGGTTTTCGACCATACGGGATCTCCCGACCCCTTTCTGAACTTGTCCACCGCATCCGCTGGACCGTTCCGCGTTGGAGGTAATTGACGAATGTACATGAGCATACGCTGCGTTTCCCGCGCTTCTCACCATCGTTCTGGTTGTTTCAACGATTCCAGGATGTGAGCGGCCATTGATTTGAGTCTTCGCACAGTATTGCAATCCCGACGAATGCACATGAGCATAGATTGTGTCTTTAGTGTCATTATTTCTCGATTCTGCCTTGCATAAGGTGGCACTCTTCGTCGATTCTGTCTTGCATAAGATGGCACTCGGATTTGCCGTAGCACGAGCGGGTACGAATACGGAAACAATAACTACCAGAGGCGGAGGAGGCGGAGGGGGGGAGGAACAGGAGGAGGAGGAGGACGACGACGACGACGACGAGCAGGAGCAATAGCAAGAGCAAGAGGGCAGGGCGCAGGAGTGATTGAACGCGTTTTTTTTGCAGCGCTGGGGAAGTGGTCCACTAATTGGTTTCGTAAGCCAAACATCCGATTCGGCACAGCCCCCACACGTTGCGCGGCCCCATAGGGAACTCCACCGAAAGCCAATGCGGCAGGGCCCGCATGGCGTACCCACACCAGATTCAGCACACCCCTCAGGCGTTCCGTGGCCACATGGGGAGCTCCACCGAAGGCCACAGCGGCAGGGTCCGCATGGCGTACCCGCACCCGATTCAGCACACCCCTCACATGACGCGTGGCCCCACAGTGACCCCCACCGAAGGCCCCAGCTGTAGGGACCGCATGGCGTAACACCACCCGTTTCGGCGCACCCCTTTCAGATTTCGTTGCCCCAGGATGAGCCTCACCGAAGGCCCCAGCGGCAGGGCCCGCATGGCGTACCCGCACCCGACTCGGCACACCCGCCACATGATGCGTGGCCCCATACGGAGCCCAACCGAAAGCCTCAGCGGCAGGGTTCGCATGGCGCAACACCACCCGATTCGGCACAGCCCTCGCACATTTCGTGGCCCCATAGGGAGCTCCACCGAAGGCCCCAGTGGCAGGGCCCGCATGGCGTACCCCCACCCGATTCGGCGCACCCCTGCCACGTTTCGTGCCCCTATAGGGAGCTCCACCGAATGCCCC